TTTAAATCACAGTAACAATATGCAAAAACGTTTTCTGTAATACTATTGGATACCAGCGGAGATACTTGGCAGCAACTAGAAGTGACAATGACAGCTGAAGCAAGTGATTTCTGTTCAAACGACAAAGGATGTTTGTCAATACGATGCAGAATATTAGAAATTCCTAGAAGATAATGTGTCGTAACATCTCATCTGCAGCTGAGTGCAAGAACTGCTAAAGTGCACAAGGCTGACTATTCGTTAAATTATTTTGTACAACAGGATCTCTTGAAAACAGGAACTTCGATGGTTGTCAATAGTGTTATACTGGACTCAATAACAGGCTAAACAACTGACTGATTGTAATATTTAGGTTAAGTTAGTTTTTAATTAAGTTAAGTACTTTTATTTTGTTTATTTTAAATATGTATAAATGTATAAATATATCTGCTTATTTCTGTTTAGTAAATTTGTACATATGTATAAATATAATGTTATGCGAATATATATGTAACATCATGTAACATCATAATATATATGCAATACTATATGTATCATATAAGTAATATAATATGTACTATAATATGTAACTGTACAGGAAAACTCTCAGCTATGTATCATACGGTGCTGAGAATGCACCAATTGGTGCTAAATAAAGAATATTGAGTATTGAGCGTTCCTGCCATTGCTGGAAACACTGCTGGAACGCATCTTTTGGAATGGCCATCATCCGCTCCGTCGGATTTTGCACGATGTCTTCTCTCGACTAAATTCGGGTTCTTTTTAGCGGCATTTTCAGCTTGGGAAATAGCCAAAGGTCACACGGAGCCATGTGGGGAAAGTACGGAGCGTGACGAACAACAGGAATGTTATGTTTGGCAACGAAAGCTCGAATCAGATGCGCAGAATGGGCGGATGCGTTATCAAGATGGAGCTGGCAAGTTTTGATCGACCACAGATCCGGTCGTTTGCATCGCACAGCATCAGAAAGATGACGAAGGACCTCCTGATAGTACTCCTTTGCGATGGTTTGGCCTTGTGGTGCGTACTCATGACACACCACCCCACGAGAGTCGAAAAAACTGTCAACATGATCTTTGATATTGCTGCGGACCTGCCGCGCTTTTTTTGGCCTTGAGGATCGTCCCCGAAAGCCTGCTGAATCTTGCGAATGGTTTACACTCGGGTATCGCCAAGGTTTTTGGCAAAATTTGATGTAATATCGCTGCTCACGTTGTTCAGTCATTNCCTCTAGCCATTTGAGGTGTTCAATAGGAGGCGAATCGTGGAGGAGAATGGCCTGGGAGAAGTTTGCTACTATATCCGGATTAATTCACAACATGCTCTAATTTCACCCATCAAAGTCCGACGGGCGATCTGGTCGTGCATGGGCGACTTGGATTGTGTGAATCCATTCGAACCTACAACTCAAATTTCAAGCTTTAAACGACATGATCGAACGGATTTCTACGTATAACGGATATCAAACATCTTTATAGAAACTGATTGGAACCTGAAGCAGAGCCCAGAAGGGGTTCAAAAATGTTTGTTTACCGATTTTTTGCGTGATCGTACCGTAAATGGTTCAGGTGTGTAAAATTTTTTGTAAGAAACATATATTGTTGGAAAGAAAAATTTAAAAGGAATCAGAAAAGCCCAAAATGAATAATGCCAAACAATGCAAATTATGTAGAGCATAAGAAAACTGAGTGCATCAACTCTGATAATAGATGTTGACATGAAATGTAATAACCAGCAAGACATTCATTTACATCTTATCCTTCTTCTAATCACACAAAGATGGATTTATGCCTTATACAATTGTGATTTTGTCCTGTACACAACCCTCCCAAGTTTTTGACCTGTGTGACATTTGGTATACCCATTGCAGTCAGTTGATGCCATAGGGGAGTTATAGAATCATCAGTTGGCTTAACGATATTGTGTACAGGATATTTTGGACTGCATGGCAGATCTCTAGTAACAAATTATTTAGAAATTAATTAAAAATAATAGTAAAAAAATAGCCTAATTTTAATCCAGCAGTCTTTGACATATTTTCAGACATATTTAAGTTTTTTTTTCAAGTGATCTCTCATCAAAAAACAAAAATAGAATGTACTGTACTGTACAGTACATTCTAAATACTTAAATTATTATATGTAAAAAAAAATTGAAATATTCTATAGTTTTAAAGAGAACATTACAAAATGTGTCAAATGTGTTAAGAAAGACACATAAATTAGGACTGTGTGACACATACAGTTCTATCACCATTACTGAAATTCTAGACAGAAGTTGAACTGTTTTTGTATATTTATTTGTAAAGCAAAATTTTTTAAATGGATAAATTTTACTATTATTATTTTTTTTAGCAAAAACATGTCCTTCTGTTTTACTCCAACAATTAAGAGGAGTTTTTAACTAATTTATGAAAATTTCCCAACTTTGAATTTATCTGACACCATGTTATCTATCAACCAAACAATCACCTTAAACGATTGGCTATAAATCAGCTATTACAGTAGAGTCCCAAAAACTTGGCCTAATGTGGATCGATGGGTGGCCGAGTTTGTGAAAATGCCGGGTTATCGGGAATGGGGTTAAAAAAGAATAAGTACGAGTATTTCCTCAGAAAATACTGTACTGTACAGTACTTGTATGTATTCTTTGCTTGAGAGTATAACAGAGAATAAACTGCCCAAATACCCTTAAACAAAGGAAAGTACAGTACATACTTTTTGAAGGCATAGAGCCTTTACTACATGAAAATGAAAATTAATGAATACATAGTGTACAGTGATTTATCTGATAAGACAGACCTCAGAAAAATACTTTGAGGCCTAAAGCTGTCTATAATGAAAATTAACTAGGGGATTTTTTGCCCTGCTAGGGTGTGGCTGAGTTATCCGGACTGCTGGGTTATTGAGTGCTGAGTTTTCGGGACTCTACTATATCAATTTATTAAGCATTATAAATTGCATTATCTATACAATGCAATTTAAAATATTTTGAATTTAAATTTTATTTATTTAAAATTTTTCAATTTTGTCTTATGTGAGTGAAGAATTTATCTATTTGGACAAAAATACTTTGTTTTATTAAATTTATTATGTTTATCTTTGCAATTTCATTCTTATTGTAATTATTATACAAAAAGATCCAATTTACTGTAATTTCTTCACCCAAATAACAGTAAACATCAAATATCTGATATCTGATGTTGAAATTTGACTTATTTTTTAACTAGTTAAAAAATTGCAAGCACATAACCACTGCTTTAAGCCTGAGTAATAGTACCATTCATGAGTCAAATTTCAAATGATACTTTTGAATTTACTGTAAGAATTTTTATTGATGTTAAAACATAGCTGAGGGTCAAACTTTTAGACTTAAGCTTTGGTCAGTACAAATGTGCTTGTATGATGGAATCTATGGATTGATTGGTAACATCGTGGAAATTTCATTCAAAGAAAGAAATGCATTTGTAAATTTTTTTATACACATGGATGGGTCTTGTAGATTATTTTACTTGCCTACACAAAAGACACCTGTTTGATTCCTAAGCAACATATTTTAGCTGTAATGCCATTTCCTACAGAGAACTCTTCAGTGTGACAGTACAGCTATCCATAGTCAGTACTGTCAAATGTTGATAAAATCTTTAACTCCACAATCTAGTTATTTTTTATTGGCCTGGAAACTGAAAATTACCCATTTTGCATAGTCTTGGAATTTCACATAGTAAATATACCTGTTTATACCACTTCTTTTTTATTATGCACTGTGTGTGTCTATATTGAAAAAAAAACATGCAGCTGGAATTGTCTGGTTATCAGGCATGGTCTTTGGCAATGGGGCACCAGTTTAAAAACTAGTTTATGGTGGCAAAACCAATATCAATGCAAGTACCTCTATAGCCTCTTTGCATAGTTTTATGAACTATATGATTGATTCTACTCATGCCCACCAGTGGCTGAGTGGATAAAACCACTGAACACTGGTAGTTGGTCATGGGTTTGTGCCTCATCAATGGGCTGGCCATGTGGTGTTTTTCAGGTTTTATACACATCAGTAATGCCTAAATAGAGGCCAGTTTCCCATAAAAGACCACCTGGGAGGCATTCTTCCATTGGCAGATTGCCCACGTGTCACATTGCTTTAATCAAATCAAATAAAACCAACAATTCTAGTCACAAATTCTACACTTATCATAGGAATACAAGCATTCAAAACAAACTCTTAAAGTATAAGAATTTTGTTTCTATTAGCCTGTAATGAAACAAAACAAGGTTACTCTAGAAATCAAACTGTTTTTGGAGTATAAAAGGAGGAGTATTTTAAATGGCATTTGTATTGGATAATAAATAAATAAATTTAAAAGATGGTCTTATATTATAAAATATGTATACATGCTGTTTTATTATCAGTTTTTCATACTTAAATGTCTTTACTAAAACTTTTTGGTATGCTTTTCTAAATTAATGATAATTCAAGTTTAATTTAATATTTTCAGATGTCATTTTGAAAATAGAACAGAATTTCTTATGATTAGAGATGGAGGAACAATGCATTCTCCTGTTCTAGGAATTTATTGTGGAAATTATTTACCAGAAACAGTATATGCTACTGGTAACATAATTTTTGTTCGTTATGTTACATCTGGTGAACATCCACATTCTGGTTTTAGTGCAGAAATTCACACTGGTAAGAAGTTTATATTAAAATATAAATATACATATATAAATAAATAAGGATGAACTAGTTACTGTGGTTACTAAGTTAAATTAAGCACATTTCCTCAATATTTTATTTCAACTTCTTTTCTTCAAATTTGAAGAAACCTCCAATTTTTACTTAGAGTACAAAATGTCTAGCATTTTTTTCATGTTTGTCTCTCTCCTTGTTTCTTTACACTTTCACCTGTTTCTTTTCTGTCCCAATAGCTCTGTGGACATATGCACATCCAAACCACTTTTCTCACCTTCCAGGTGAGTCTTCTTGAGCACTCAGCATATGAACATTATTAAATTTATGAATTAAAGTGTTATAGTAACTTAACTAAGCCTAGCCACTTCACTAACCCTAAAAACCAATACCTTAACACAGGCAGGACACTGCTAAACTAGTATCTCCATGCTACTGTTTCATCCTCTGGTAAATATCAGCTGGATTTTCATTTTCATTGATTAAAAATCAGACAACTGCATGCTGCTCCTCTTTGGAGCATATCTATAAGGGCAACACCATTAAGGTGGTGTACCTGCACATGCAAAATCTGCATGCTTGAAAAGACATCTCAAATTTATAGCTTTCCAATAAGATTTAAAATTTTCCATGATCATATAAAGGTTACTTTTTGACTCACCCACATATTACACACTTGATATCTTTGAAATTTTTGAGTATGTTGTTGATTTTATGACATCATAAAAATACAAAACTTTTTATTAATAAGCAAAATAATAATAGGTTAATCCTAATTATTGTTAAAAACAAATGTAAAAATTATTATACATCTGTTTGATATAAGTAACTTTGTAGAATGAATTACTTACATAAATGCAAAACATCATATTTAGAAAGTATAAAATCTTTAGTTATTGTAAATTTTTATCTAACATACTAAAACTTATTCTTACAGCTGAATGTGGAGGATTACTTTATGGACGTAATATTTCTATAACATCACCAAATTTTCCACAAAATTATAGTAATAGTCAAACTTGTGAATGGAATGTTTACGTGTGGGAATGGAGAATATTAAAATATCGTTTTGATGTTTTAGATCTTGCAGATACATCATGCAATAAGGATTTTGTTGAAGTCAAAGAAGAAAATTCAACAGGTAAGTTGTATCTTTTAATTTACAAAATATATAGTTTTAATATAGCTTAAATATAATTCAGAATTCTTCACCTAGAAAAATAGTAATAATTATATTAATTTCAAATTTTCAGTTTTTTAGGTATTCTCATGAAATGTTTTTATTTTGATGATATTAAATATAAAGTAATTGTTTAGTTTATTGATGAAACTATGTCTTGTTTATAAAATTGTGGGACACCTTACAGGTATAAAGGAGTACATGTCAGGAGTTGCAATTTGGCACAGAATATTTGGTGCCCAAATCATGTGCACATAAAAAAAATCAGACTTGTAGGTATTCGGGACTGAGAACCGAGTCAAAATAAAATACTAAATGGCGACACTCTTTCTACACACAGGTGCTAGTGTGAGATTTGTGCATGCTTTGTTCATTGGAAAGTTGTAAATGCAAACATTGCAAAATTGAATTTTGACAAAGGAATCTTTGAAAAAAACCCATTTACTGGTACCTGTCCCTTGTTATTCCTGACACATCTCTGGTAGTGACCTGCTGACCTTGAACAGTTGACCTGAGATGTCTCATTTCAGCATCAGAACATTTGTAAAACTAGATGGCGCTAGTCGTTATAATTTTATGTTAAAACTAATTTCTGAAATATAATTTTTTATTTTTTACATGTATTAATATATTTATTTTGGTTGTACAAAATAAAAAAATAATTTCAGACAATACAATAGCCACGATTATTTGTTCAAAATCAGGAAATTTTTGTTAGGCATCAATAAAAATTCAACTTGGAGCAATATATAATAGAGAGAAATTTTGACATTGTATAGTTTAATTTCACCGAAAATACATTGTGGATGACCTCATGGTCATGGCTACAGCCGAGCCCAGCAAAGTTTGAATGATCACACTCAAAACCAGCAATATCAAAGAAAATTGGAAACTGAGAATGAGACCTGCCATGATTTAGAGACTCACTACTAAATGATCCCACTTGTAGTGAGTCTCCAAGACAGTCTTGTCCTAAAAATGGCTTTGCTGTTTTATTTGTTTATTTATTAACATGGTGTTAAGTTTTGTGAATTTTTATATGGAAGCTTGGTAGATGGTAGATGCAATAAATTATTTAGAACTGTTATAAAACTACAAAATATGGTTGTCTGCTTAAACAAGAAAAGAAACTATCACAAAAGGCATTAAATACATATAAATACCGCTTTATTCGCTAATGCTTTCGACATATTATAAGGCAGATACAAACTTGAATAAATATTTTGAACAAGCTTTCCAAATTAAAAATGAATGGCCTTAGTCCTTTAGAACAAAACTATAATTAGAATAAATAAACGTAAAGAATTTAAATTAAAGTGTGCATGGTGGCTACATGCATGTGCCATAATGTGTGGATTAGGCATTGTAAGCAGAGCTAGAGACAATGTTTTAGTTTTTCATATAAACTGACCCATTATTGCAGGTAACTCAAATGTGGGGGAGTTACATGGATTTAATAATATGGTAAGGAGGACCTCTCAAACATACACCAGGCTCTTCTGATCACAATACCTGAGCATCGCCACATGGTCCCACAGCAGGGTGTGTTGGCATTGTAACGCCATCCTTGATAGCTCAGTGTCACACATGCCTACCTTGATGGAATGTTGCTGTTCAAAGGTGTGGCAAGACAACATTCTAGTTGTCGCTCCTATGTAGTGGGTGCGAATGCCAGATATTGTTTTTTTCTAATGGGATAGAGTATACACCTGACTTCTCTAGTATGGAACCAGCATCCTGGTCATTGCATAGAAGTCTCCTGAGACTTGGTCATGTGGTGACCAATGGAAGTAATGCATGTTGTTTAAAAATATGGCATTACTTCTACCGGTCACCCTGCCTTATGACTAATGAGGGGATGGCATGACATTGGAGTCACTGATTTTGATCAAACTCAGTAAAGTTATAGTGCATCCCCAACAATTGACATTGTGATGTTCATGCGAAATTACAATTAACCACAAAGGTAGACAAGATATGATAACAATAAGATGATATGTTTTTGCAAGTAATTTATTTTGTGTTTTAATACAGATTCTTATTAGGGATTCCAATGTCATGGTACAATATGATATTGTGAGAATATGAATTCTTTTGGTAATTTTAAACAGCTTAAATCCTTATAAAATTATTTTTCCATCACTATTTCCCTTATTCCTAAAGTTTTGTTGAGGTTAGCCTTTTGACCAGCAATGTGACTTTAAATGTCTTCGGAAGTTCTCCCCTCACACCAGGGGATCGTTCAATTTTAACATAAATACAAGGTGCAACTAAGTAGCCAATTAACGTTGACAACCACCTACCTGTTACTGTCTAGAGAGTAACCAAAAAATCACTGACGAGGATAAAACAAACTCCTGTGCTCCCCTCTAAGTCCAATTAAACCGATGAGAAAGTCAATCTAAATGACCAAATAAGGCAATGAATATTACTAAGGTGGTGAGACATATTCTGACCTTAGTCACCTCCCATCATTAAATCAGGGCGTTTGACAAATTTACAGTGAGAAGATGTCAAATTACGGAAAGAAGGGGTAATAAATCTAAAGAGACATTCGTTTTTGACAAGTAACATAAACACCACTGGACACAAGTCAAGCTGGTAATTGCATTAGATTTTCTTCCCCCAATACTTCCCCTCCGGGACGTGTATAAAAAGGGATCACACCCACACCTCGGGGTGATCGCCAGGAAGGAACTCTGTGACCTCTGAACTCTTCAAGCCTACTAATCTCCACTCGGGTTCTTTGCAGTTTCTGATCGCCACTGCAACCGACATAAAGACAGAAAATTTTTACTTCCCTCTCTCTCAGTTTAGATTAGATCGTAGGAAGTTCATGGAAAGATGGACAGCGGCTGTCTATTATTGTCGCAATGTGGATTTCTTAGTGTTATTATTCTCGCTATTTTTCTCTTGATTGATGTTGAAGGTATTTGAATGTATACATATCATTTGTTAATAATTAAATGATTTATTCCTAATTTTAATAATGTGTCATCTTTGAGTATGACCGATACCTCGTCATACCCCTCCCACTCATTTAACCGAAGCCATCCCTGATAAAGAAGCCAGTAAGTGGGGTGGAGCTCACCGCTCCAACCTCCTGCAGTTCACAATATTGTAGAAAATTATGGCACAAATAAAAGTTTGGTAAATCCAAAGCATATATATCCCGATCACGACAGTATGATCAAACCCAAAATTTTAAAAACTAACCTTATATACAAGGTCTGTTTAAAAAGTATCGGACCTTTGGTCGGCAAAAATAAATTTATTGACTTTGAGGTACAAAACCTTAATTTTCTTCAAAGTAGTCTCCTTGGTAATGTATACACTTCTCCCAGTGTTCCTGCCATTGCTGGAAACACTGCTGGAACGCATCTTTTGGAATTTCCATCAGCCGGTCCGTCGGATTCCGCACAATGTCGTCTCTTGACTAAATTCGGGTTCCTTTTAGCGGCATTTTCAGCTTGGGAAATAGCCAAAGGTCACACGGAGCCATGTGTTGAGAGTACGAAGCGTTACGAACCACAGGAGTATTGTGTTTGGCGACGAAAGCCCGAATCAGATGCGCAGAATGGGCGGATGCATTATCTGATGGAGCTGCCAAGTTTTGATTGACCACAGATCCGGTTGTTGCGTCGCACTGTATCGGAAAGACGACGAAGGACCTCCTCGTAGTACTCCTTTGCAATGGTTTGGCCTTGTGGTGTGTACTCACGACACACCACCCCACGAGAGTTGAAAAAACTGTCAACATGATCTTTGATATTGCTGCGGACCTGCCGCGCTTTTTTTGGCCTCGAGGATCGTCCCCGAAAGCCTGCTGAATCTTGCGAATGGTTTACACTTGGGTATCGCCAAGGTTTTTGGCAAAATTTGATGTAATATCGCTGCTCACGTTGTTCAGTAATTTTCCAGCTTAGTGGAATCCGACGAGAGC